TTTCTTTCAATTTCTTCATTCCCTCAGAAATGTCTCGGATCATTCATCCTCTTTTCACCCTTCATTTCTCCCGTATCACATCATTTCTTGTAACAGCCGTTCTCTCATCTGTTTCACTTTTGATCTCGTTTCAGATTTTTCCTCCGTAGCTCTACCTGCTTTAAATGTTCATCTTATAAAATCATGAGATAATCCTAACGCTACAATTGGTGCATTTTGACACAATCTTAATGCAGTATAGATTTTCTTAAGTCCAATATGTTTTCTTTTAATGATCACAGTCAGTTTAATGAAAGCTTGATACGTTTGACTTTTAATACGGCACTTCCTTTTTACATTTACCTCTTTAAATCTAAAATTACCAAATTCAAACACATTTTGTTCTCCTTTCTTTCATTCCCCCACTAAGGGAAGCTGCAATGACAGCAGATTGATCCCACACACAAATGCATATGTCTCCAATATTGATTGTTTTCTCACACATGTAGACACACATAACATTATTTATACACGCCATTAAGTCGCCGTCTCGCTTCGGCAAGTCTCCTCTTTTGCCGAGCGGCTCGCGTGGATCCATAGTGTTCAGGTGGAGGAGGTTTTTGTTTTTTTTCTCGAGGCGCTCGTGGACGTTATCTTGAAACTAAGGTCTGGCTGCCATAGCAACCATATGATGAGGCAGCCAGGGCTATTTAAAGGAATTCAGCTGCTGCATTCCCGTCAGCTTCACACCGGTCCACTGAAAGACAAAGAAGTGGAAGTGAATGCACAGACACTTATAGTTCCACCCCTGCAGTCTAATGTCTGGTATTAGGGCTCGAAGCAGCGGAGAAGCAGAATAAATTAAGGGCTGCTTACTCTACGTAAACGAACAATGGAGTCTGAACATTTATTTATTTTAGCTTGAACTTCTTAGTAATAATCTCCTACCCTTCAATGTTTTCTCTATGCCTCCTTAGTATGTATTCTTCCAGTTAAATAGATCCGATTCGAGATGAAGCGTTTACATTTTAAAACACCTATCCTGTTATTTAAATAATGTACATATTTTGAATCCATTCGTATGAAATGTACCCTGTTTTTCGACTAAAGTAAAAAATATTTCCCTGCAATATAATATATAAAAAACAATATATATGCAAAAGCTTGCACATTAGGGGATTCTTTTTTTTAACGTTGATGCACATTTGCTGGAATCATCTGCAGAAGGGGGCCACTCTAATGTAACGCCTGAAAGTATTCATATAAAAAGCAAACACACCTTTTTCTCCAGGGAGGTTTTTTTCGTCGGACAGTCACACATGGGGAGAGGAAGAAAAAACGTTGTGCACCTACAGCGCTGTGCATGCCAAACAGACGCAGAGCAGACAAAGGAAATCACAGTTTCTCACACACATACTTATCTGTCGGACGCACACCTGGAGGAAATTGACATTTACCTCCTATCACCTACTGAGAGCATTTCTGTATTCTCACTTAACCCCCCCATATGTCTCTGTCAACGTCTAACTGTAAGTGATAGGCAGCGCTTCCTCTCTATTATTCTGCTTTTCTGTTCACTAAGTAACCACTTGGCACTGCTAGTCAGACTGACTTTTAAAAAAAACACGTCTTATTCAGGGTGGCCACCCGAAAGATTTTCAGGGGGGGGGGGCATACTGGGGCCGGTTGGTTTATGATAGGGCCACATTTAATGCAAAATAGACAAAGACAGAGTTCAAGATTTGAGCTTTTTTAGTTCAGTATGGAGTCATAGCCCACAAAAAGAACATAACATTATTGGTGTTATTAATGGTGTGTTTTAGTAACAGAATTTGTGCCAATGACTTTATAATATAATTATTTTTTAAATTAAATTATTGGAAACAAATCCTTTTATCAGCAGTCTTTGCTGCGACTCTACCCCTAATTGTATAATCAAATGTTCTTATGTAGGGGGCCAGGCCTATTGCCCCCCCCCCCCCCTAGAACCGCCCATGATCACATAAATAAAACCCTTTAATAAAGAGATAAATGATTAGTCTGGAAACTGGCGAGTTGATTGAAATAACATTTATTATTTCACCTTTTTGATAATTAATTAATGCTTTGAAGTCGTTTTTCAAACACAAATGAAACGCATCATGTATTTCGAGATTCTGAAATTCAAAAATGTCATGTTAGTCTTTGTCTTCTGTGATATATTCTCCATGGGCTGACATTATGGAGACTAAATATTTAATGATTTATTGAGAAGAGAATCAAAGTAATAACATAAAGTGATTAATTGCAACCTTTAACATACTTCCAGTTAGTTAGTCTGTCCCAGTGCTTTATAAATGAGCATCAGTGAAGTGGCTGTAATCAAACAACTTCATGATTTGTAGTGTAAACTTCACTGGTTTGGCTCACCGGGTTAATAGGTAATTCTTACTCGTCTGTAAAGAAAGGCTCGTAATTTTAACGTATGTCATTCAACTGACTTTACATTTGAAGTGCACGATTATTGGTGGAACTGCCGCCGTTCTTTTATGGCCCTGTTGAGCCTTTTCCAAGCCCTGTGAGAGCAGTCAGGAAGATTTTAAATTGCTCCAAAGACGCAAAATGATGAGTGACCTCTCTCATAACACTCCCTCTGCTCCTCACTTCGTTCTTTATCTCTTTTAATCCCAACTCATTTCATATGCTAAGTAAAAGCTTATATCCCTCTTCACTGTACGTACACGCACATCCTTCATTGCTCTGGTGTGATTATAACATTTGCATAGAGGATGTTGTTGGAGTGCAGAAGCAGGGGGTGGTCTAATGCCTGTCAGTTGTAGAGAGGTGGTGCACAGACTCCCAAAATCTCTCATGTTTTTGGATTTATGAGGAGAAGTCATCGTGAGGAGCCTAGAGAAAGCTTGCCTCTCTCCTAACCTCCGATGGTTTCCTCTGACTCTAATTTGCATTTTCTCTTCTCACAGTTATCCCAGATGTAGCGATGATAAGGAGGAAAGGGAGACTCTTCCCCCGGGGAGGATGCAATGAGATGGAAACACTTTTCTGCTTTCCGAAAGGAGAACTTCTCCCACCATCGGGGCGCCATCTGCTGGTTCTGGTGGGGCGGGACAGCTGGTGTTGTGAATCAGGCCGCCGAAATCCAAGGACCGGCTACTTCCCAACACCAGGGTCCCACCCTCACCCCTCACATCCTCACAGGATTGACCTCAGTCTCAAAGGACTTCCTCATTGTATATGCTTTCTTATGTTGTATGTAATGATGATTAATTAATTGTAGTACTAGTCCAAATCTGTGTGATGTATATTTCCTATGCATTGTATCCTGTCAAATTATGAATTACCAAAAAAGTATAGTAAATATACCAAATAAAAATGTTAAACTCACATTTAACATGGATAATACCATATGTTTGTAGTTAACAGTATTTCCCCAAATAAAGAAATTAAATATAATTTTTTTTTAAATATGACTGGTTTTGTTCTTTGAATTAATCAGAAGAAAACCTCTTTAAAGGGGCCCTATTATTCTTTTTAGGGGTTTTCCCTTAGTGTAGTGCAGTGGTTCTCAAAGTGGGGGGCGCGCCCCCCCAGGGGGGCGCAGAGGCATGACAGGGGGGGCGCGAGAGACCAGGAGGAAAAATGGTTATAAAAAAAAAAAAACATAAAAAAAAAAAAAAAAATGTTTTAAAAATTATTGATTCGAAAATAATATTATACAGTACTATAACGTCTGGGTCTCTGTGTTTCATTAAAGTTTGGCTCTGTGTGTGTGTGTGGAACGAGCCATTTTGTGTGCGTGCGCGAGTGAGAGCGCACCGGTACCGGAGATCGTTGTTGTTAGCTTCTGGTGCTAGCGAGCTACGCTAACGGATATAAGGAGTTTTTTCAACAACAAAGTGGAGGAGAGTCCTCTCCTGTCAGAATGAGAGACTCAGTGAGCTAAAGGACTCTCAGTGTTATCTCAGTGGGTCTCAAACGTTTTGGTCACCATTAATGTAAACAATTATTTCCGAGGCCCCACGTTTATATGATCATTATAGTTATAAAAAAATAAGAGAATAAATTAAAAACAGGTATGAAATACTATATGACATTAAAAAAAGAATAACGTTAAAAAGGGAGTGATTTGTAAAATATCCATAAAGAAAAAGTAAATCTGTTTACAGTTCTGTTTCAAATGGGTGTTGAGAGATGTATCCATAGATCTCTTCATGTTGCTCTCAAAGTGCACCAGATTGATGCTTTTAACGCACCAGATTGGATGCTTTTAATAACTTCAATATTTAAAAATCTTCCCAGGGGAGCTTGCCCCCTGACCCCCCTATGTGAGGTCCACACACCACCTATAAAAATAACACTTTACCCCTGCTTACACCTATATGCCGTGAGCTGATTATCGAGCCTTCATTGTAACAGTCGCGGGTACACTGTGTGTGTGTGTGTGGGGATTGTTGCAGTAGAACATTCCACTGTAGCGACCAGTACATTAATGGGAAACCCTAAATGTTTGAGCACCCTCTATGAAACGTCAAGCTACCCCACAGCACCCCCAAAATAGAATCTCTGGCGCCGCCACTGAGCCTGACTATTTGTGTTGGGGGGGCCCGACTTTTTTTTTTCTCCAAAGGGGGGGCCTGACAGAAAAAGTTTGAGAACCACTGGTGTAGTGTGTTGTGTGTTTTCACTTCCATGACACCAAAGCAACCTACAATACCTAAAATAATTCATGAAATTACAAACTCTGAACATTTTCCACTTGTATGGCTTCTATAATATATGTCATGTTCTTGTAACTTATTGGTTTTTCAATTTTTCACGTTTCCCATGAGCAATCTTGCGCATGCGCAGAATGAGCGGTATATGGTCAATTAATTTGGGTGTGCATCACAGAAAATGGACGCTATGAACGGGAGCATGTTTGACGTTGTCACGCATGTTTACTCGCCGCACCCTTCAAAGTAACCAGGTCTAGATATATCATTTATCTCCCTTTGATAAGTCGTTTTTTTTTATTTATAAGCATGTCACCCTCTTCTAGCAGGAAAAAACTTAACCGAACCTCGTTGACAAACTTCAGTCTGACGGTGGTGCCGCGGCGTCGACGAAACTTAAAGAATAATTTTGCATCTGAGAAACCAGAGGAAAACAAACTTGTTCCTGAACCTAAAGACAGTAACTCTTTCCAAAACAACAATGCATCCGTGCCATCGTCTTTAACAAACCCCGCAATCGTGACGGAAACGATCGAAGGAGAACCGGAGGAGCCGTGCGTAGGAACGCAAAAGTCAAAATGGAGATCCAAAGCGGATGGTAGTGTGAACGTTATTGATCAAGAGGTACCGTGCACCAGAGGCAAGTTTCAAAAGAGTAAACCAAACACCAGGAGCAAGAGCAAGCACGGGGTGCACACTTTTAAACAGCTTTGCGACCTCAGATTGAAGTTTACTTGGTGCGTTTGCACGGCTGCAGACAGGAAAGAGGTGGTCAAACCAAAAAGGGGCAACATGTCTTGCAAAAAGGAATTGAATAACGAGACTACAAAGAGTAAAAAGTCAGGTGTAGTAAAATCTGGAAGGTGCAACTCTACACAAGGTGGTGTTAATGGGAAAACTCGCGTTGGTAGAAGAGCCAGGGACAGCGGGTGTAAAGAGAAGGCCAAGTCCGCCTTGTGTGATCCAGATCCGGCTGCTGCACAGACAGGAACACGGTCCTCCATTACCGCGGAACTGTCAAGTAAGGGCCACTTTGAGAGGGTTGTTTGACCATCACTAAGCGTGCACAGAAACTGGCATTGGGGTCTAGTAAATGTGTGTTAATTGGGGTTGTTTTGGCAGGAAAAGGCTGTTAGCTAATGTGCTAATTGCATGCGTTTTGCTAAGTTTTTTAGAACGTGTTTTATGCTAAGCTAAAGGCGACTAATGTGAATCCCATCCTACAGAGATGGGAAGTAACTTAAGTACAATTTTAAGGTACTTTTCTTAGGTATTTCCATGTATTGCTACTTTATTCTTCGACTCCACTACATGTATTAAACAGCTTTAGCTACTTCAAAAATTAAATCTCTAAAAATGTGCTACTTGCCTAGCCTATAAGTGTTTTCTGTCATTAGATAAGTGACGTCTAATATTAAAACATAAAAAATTGAGGTAATCAACCCATATTTTTATACTGATTTTTAACCCTCCTGTCTTGCTTCTTTCTCCCCCCCTTACTGTTGTGTTCACGGTGGTCTGTTTTAGCCAGAGGTGGGAGAAGTACTTAAAGAGCCTGTGACACGAACCCAACAACTGTTGTGCAATGAAATAGTGGGCTTCTAGTAATCTCGAACCGTCAGTTTAAAAAAGAAAAAGCGATACCGTTCCGATAAATATCAATAATTTCGAACATCGCGGGAAAATTCCTTCGACTCATTTTGAGGTTTTGGGGGAAGCCGGAAGTGACGTCAATGCGGGAACGCTTCACTGTGCGGCGAGAGAGCCAAACACGGACAAAGTGTGTTGTCATGCGTAGAAATGGTGAATTACTGAGTTTAGGCACGTTAATAACGTTTTAATGAAGTTGACTACAGTATATTCATATTTATCAGTGCTTTCATGTCAATTCGGCGAACATAAACATAAATGATCGTGGTGAAGATGATGATTAAATTAGGATTAAAAATCGGTAGTGAGAGCTGCTGAATTTCCTCCCGTCGGATGTGATATAAAAACAAATCGATTATTTGTGTAAACTCAAGTGGATGAAACTACATTTATTAGTGCTTTCATGTCAATTCGGCGAACATATGATACATTAAATGATCGTGAGGATGATGAACAGTTGCCCCCCTCCCGCGCCCACGCCCCCCCCGCCCCCCCCTCCCGCCCCCCCCGAACCCTAGAGACACAGCAGGACAGTCGCGTTGAATGTACTACGGCAAATTCTGTTATTATTATCTGTCCCGCCACGGGTCGACAAGTCGCTTCGGGCTACGGCCGGCAAAGACGCGCTTGGTAGTGAGTTTACGCCTTATCAGAGTTCACACCTGCGTGCCCTGTTTTATTATTTTTACGACACACGCGTCAGGACCGTGTCACGCCTTAGTGGGACGCAGTGGGATGTGTGTGTCAGACGGGGAGTGTGTGTGTGCGAAAGTTAGTTCAAACTTATTTACGAACTTCGATGCAAAAATAATATTAATGACACTTTAGACGGATCAATACCAAAGCAGGTAATAATCGTTGTTTGTGTGACGTTGACTATGTGACCGTTACTAAAATCTGACATATATCTGAAATTTTTTTTCTTTAGTACGAAGTTTATTCACCCCCTGCCGCATGGGGGCGGCAGGTTGCGGGTGATGTGGTGACTAGACGTTGATGTTCTTCGATGTTCCAAACAGAAACGAGTAGTCCTTTACGTCTGCCGAGTTTGTTTT